TCACATATCTTTTCCTCGTCCTGGAAGTTTGATCACTCGGAGCTGGACCTGGAGCTCTTGTTGCTGGCCCGTAAATGAGCCCCTCATCGCGTTCTCTTGGTTCCTAGCTCCACTGCGTCTCCCTACCCGCCTCGTGCTGACGTGCGGCTTCATTTTATTTTGATTACTGGTTATGGCAGATGTGTTTTGGTAACACATACTCTCTTGTAAATGATAACTTAGAAATAAATCGTAGGTAAACACGTGAGGGGAGTGACTCCTTCTGGTAGGAACTGCTGAATCAACAGCCCTTCCCGGGCCGGTGGCTCGAGTGTCCCGGGGGCAGCGCACGGTGGAGTTTTAATGTGTCGGATCTGCATTCTCTTAGTTTCCTGTCTGATCAAAGGTGAGCTGTGTAATTTTTCTGTGCCTCAGTTTTCTTTTTAGGAGTTTATTTTTGTGAGTACATGTCTAATGTAGCCCGTACTGATCTCATTCACTGTGGGGAGCTGGTGCCTGTGCGGAGCACAGCAAATCCTTTCCACGTCCTGTTCCCTTCCCCTCTTCCCTTCCCCTCTTCCTCTGCTCTCGGTTTTTTTCCCATTTGCAGAAGATGTGTCTCTGCATTTCTGTCTCCTTATCTGTAGTCAGAATACCTGCCTCACAGAAGAATTGTGAGCGTGAAATGAGGTAAGATACACAGTACTTAGAACCTGGCCCAGCATATAGTTGAAGATGAATGTTGTTAGCTGTTCAGTTTATTGTCAAATGTTCCCAACCATGTTTCTAAGACAAGAGGTCAGATCCTGGTGGTTTTCTGCCTAACGGATCCATCTCATTGTCTCACCAGAGATCCATTTGCTAATTTTTTAGGTTCTCTGCATTCAGAACATCACTGGCTTTGGTTGCAATGCAGTGAATGTGTTAGTTATGTGTTTTGCTGTCTGACAAATTACTGCACAGTTCAGCACACTGAAACGACATATTTCATGATTTCACATCACCACACATCAGGAGCAGTGGGGTGCTCAGTTGAGTCCTCTGCTGCAGTGTCTCTCTCAAGGCCGAAATCAGAGGCTCACCTGGGGAGGACACACTTCCAGTCCAACCCATGGGGTTCCTGGCCAGCTCAGTCCTTCCAGGGTCGTTGTCTAAAGCCTCCTTCAGTACCTTCATCGGCTTTATCAATGCCGGTAAGAGAAGCGCTCAGCTAGCAAGATGTTTCGGTTTAGATCTAAAATGTCCTCCAAAAGCCTCATGTGTTCATGGGTGGGCAGTGAGGGACCATGGGGTCTGTACTCCCCTGTGGATGAACCCACTGATGCATTCACAGGTGAATGTGCTATTAGGAGTGGGGCGTGGCTGGAGGAGGTGGTGTGTGACTGGGAAGGGTGTGTTCCTGCCTCCAGCTCCTCCCTTCTCCCTTTCAGCGTCTTGGCCACCATGAGGCGAGCAGCTTCCCTCCACCATGCCTTCCCACCCCACTGATTCTGCCTCGGAGCCAGCTGACTATGGACTGAACCCTCCGAAACTGTGCACCAAACAGCCTCTCTTCCTTAAGTCATAGGTGTCAGGGATTTTGTCCCAGTGACGGGAAAGTGACTAATATACCACCTAAGATCAGTCTTCGGTAACTTAACATTGTGTAATAAAGAATTTGTCAGGTCTTTGCTCTTGGTTCCTGGGAGATCACCTCTAAGTCCTTGGAACTTCCTCAGTTCTGCATTTATTTTTTATTCCTAGAGAACCTATCCCCCCATCTGAGCTTATGCTAGCAGGATGATTCAGATGAACTTAGGGCAGGGGTTGCTGTACTGAGAGACTCAGAGGGTGGGGATTTCCAACTTGACCTCCAGGGAGCAGATGATGTTGGAGACCGAATTCAATCACCTTGCATGACCAGTGATTCTGTGTCGTGCCTAGAGAAGGAAATGCTAATCACCACTCTCCTCTCTATTTCTGCAAGCCCAACTTTTTTATAGGGTGTGCCCACAGTTGAATGTGCCAACAGGAGGTGTGGCCAGGCTGGAGGTGGGTCACTGGGGCCTGACTTGAGGGGCTTATCTCTTCTCTGGCCCTTCCTGCTCTTGGCATCCCAGCTTTCATCGGGTGAGCATCTCTCCTCCACCACACCCTTCCACCACGATGCTCCTGCCTTGGACTCAGCTGACTGTGGACTGCTGCTTTGAGACTGTGAGTGGAAGCCAACTCTTTCTCCTTTGCATTGTGTATACCAGGTGTTTGGTCAGAGAGACGAAGCACTGACTAGTACAGGTGGTGCTCGTCTTCCTCTCTGTGGCTGGCTCACTGCACAGTATCCTCCAGGTTCATCCATGTGTGGCAAATGGCAGGAGCTCCTCCTTTTAGAGGCTGAGCAGTATTCCACTGGGCATGTGTACTCTGCTTGCTTTATGCTGCAGGTTGGTAGGCACCTTGGCTGACCCATACCCTGGCTACCACGAGTATTGCTGTGATGAACTCAGGGGGGGGCATGGCCGACACTCACCCGTATTTGGGTACTTTGGCTGCACACCCAGAGGTGGGACTGCAGGATTTTACCGTGCTTCTATTTTATACTTTTTTTGTGGTGCTACTGATTGAACCCATAGCCTCATGCATCCCGAGCCAGGAGTCCATCACTGAACTATATCCTCTACTATTTTTGTGTGTGGTACGGGGGATCAAACTGGGAACCTTGCACTTTAGAGGCAGGCGGTGGTACCACTGAGATAAATTCCCAGCCCAATCCCCTATTTTTAACTCCTAAAAGAATGTCCATGCTTCTTTCCAGAAAGACTGCTCTAGTCTAGGTGCTCTTTGCTCCTTTACCTACATTCTCATCTGTACTTTTTATCTTTCACCTCTTTCTTTCCTTTTTTGCTTTTTTGGTTCTAGGGATTGAACCCACGTTCGTGCACTTGCTAGGCAGGTGCTCTACTACTGAGCTATATCCTTTGCCCTGTCTTTCACATTTGTTTTTATTGTTGTTAAATAGGAAAAAGAACACACAAAACTACATGTCAGAGGCATGAGAATATTAGCCACCGATAATAGCCAATACAACAAAAGTGAAATAATTTTTTATTGTCTTTATATTTCTCTAATGATTAGCCACATTGAAGATTTTTCATGATTATTTGTATGCCTTCTTTTGAGAAATACTGATTTAGATGTTTTGCCTAATTTTTAGAAAATGAGTTTTGTTTTGTTTTTGAGACAGAGTCTCACTATGTAGATCAAGCTGCCTTTGAACTCACTATGTAGCCTAGGCTGGCCTCAAACTCCCAGCAATCCACCTGCTTCAGCCTTCTGAATGCTGGTATTACAGGTGTGTGCCACCATGCCGGGCTATTTTTTTGCTGTTGAGTTGAGTTTCTTATATACTTTGGGTATTAATTCTTTATTGAATGTTTACAAATGTTTTCTCCAGTTCTGTTGGTTGTTCTCTTGGCTGATGGTTTCCCTGCTGTGAAGAAGCTTTTTAGTTTGATATAATCTCATATGCCTCTTTTTACTTTTATTGCCTGTGATTTGGGGGACGTATCAAAAAACTCATTGCTCAGACCAGTGTTACAGCGTTTCCCCCACTGTTTTCTTTTAGCAATTCTGTAACTTCAGGTCTTACCCTGAAGTCTTTAACAAGATAAACATAAACTTTAGTGAGGTCTTTGACTTGTTCTTGTGCAACTAATGTGTCAGTGCCTAGTTCCCCAGAAGTGGCTACAATTCTTAGTAAGTTCTCAAGATCTGGCCAGAAATCTTTGCTGTAACTTCACACTTCTTATGCTTCATCCTCAAGAGTGCACACGCTTCCAAAAAGCAACAGTGTGACTTATGTGTGGTTGTGAGGTGAGGGACATTTTCCTCTGGGGATCTAGGTCCTCTAAAAGTCTGGGAAAAGGACACACTCTAATTTTTCTTTGAGTCTGATTATAACCCTATCCACTTGAAAATTCGTAGGGAACGGATTTATGTTAGCCAAAAATGGAGTAGCAAATGTGCCAAAAATTTGATAATTTTTTTTGAAAATCTTGAAACGTATTCTCAAATTTCTGTATCAAAACAGAAAGCAAGGCTCTATCTATATTTTTTAGTGTTCACAGGACTGTGTTGTGATAATGTATCGCAGTGCACAAAATTATAAGCTTGCCATAATGTAAGGTTTATTTTTAAATACCGTTGTGCTTCAAAACAGCACAGATGAGGTGATGTTCACCTTGAAGACACACATTTAACTCATTTAAATGAGAAGTCAAATCCACCAAAAATGCTAAATCTGTGAGTCGTTTTTCATCTTTGTGTTCTGGCACCAATCTTCCTTTTGATTCCATAGATGACTGGGTTTCATGCAGCAAAGCATAACATCTTTTCAAAATTGACTCCACCTTAGCCACCTAACTTTCCCAAAGTAAACGATGTCCTGGAGCCAGCATCTACACTTTTGCGGAGCCCTGGAGTTGGTGAGGACTCACTGCCCCGGGCCTTAGGGTAGCCACAGCTTTGATGATGATGTGAATGACACTTTCCATTTTTAAAGGTTTTGCACATCTATTCTAAGTGCCATGGTCCTGCATCAATGTGAGTTCCCAGCGGCAAGGCGTCATCTTCTCTTGCTTTTACAAGCAAGTCTTTCTTTCCCGATAGCCATCACTGGGCTGCCGTCAGGTGTGTTGATGTAAAAAGAAGTGACATGCGATGTTCGGGCACTGACTCCCCACAAGGCACACGTGCGATCCTCACGCACCACTGATGTGGACTAATAAAAGTAACACATTTTTAAAAGACTTCCAGGTCCACCCTTGATCAGCATCGATCGGTGCTGGTGGAGCCCGGCAGCCCCGTGCGCCCGTGGCACCTGTGTGATGAGCTGAAGTTGACCACTAAAGAGCTGGCTGTGGCCACACGCTGACTTCAGTCCAGACTCTTGGCAGGTAGCCCTGCTGCACGGAAAAGGTGCATCAAGCACTTCAGGCCAATCAGTGACAGGCTCAGGGGCAGCTTTGGAAGAAAAGACTTTTTACGGCAGCATCTCTGAGCACAAACATCTGCCACCCCGCCACCGAGGGGCCCAGAAGTGCCACCGAGCTGGACCCGCACGTGGTGTCTCGCCCACGCACTCTGCATTTGCGCTGAGGAGGTGGCTCAGTGTACATTCGCCGGCCTGGCCTCGTCCCCACGCTGTTCCCTTGTTCCTTCTGAATCATTTTTCTGCATCGGTCAAACATCTCCCTCTCTGGGAAGGCTTCCCTCACCACCCCAATTGCATTACTTACCAAAGGCTTGGCAGTGTGTTAAGTGCTTGCAAATATCCACTCCAGCGGACCTTGCAGTAGCCTTAGGAGCTGGGCGCTTTCCAGGGAGGGGCATCGATGGTGACCCCTCCAGAGCTGTCGATGATGTAAACAACTGCTGTGATGCGTGTGCCACAGGTTCCCACCACGGGCTTAGGACATCCCAAGAAGGAAGCTGGAGTCGGCTGCAGAGTGAGCAGGGCAGCCAGGTGTGGGTGGCCCAGGCTGAAGCACAGCAGAAGTGGGCAAAGGGCCCAGTTAATACATTGACGCATCTTTTCACGGTGGAGGGTGACAGCTTTTGATTTGTGAATGCGATCTGTGCTTAGCTTCCAACATAACAGCAACCACAGCAAGATGAGTTCTTCAGGGAGCTCAGAGAAACTGCTCCAGATTTAATTATTTGGGGAAACAGAAGTAGTCAGGGTGATGTTATTTTGGGTTTACATAAGAAGCAAAGTTTTCTGTTCTTTTCTTTCCCTTTCTCTGAGTATGGAATATAAAATACTTCATCATATTGGAAACAAGCAAAGGGTCAGCTTTTGCTTCTAGAGCATCGCGCCCCATGCCCTTGGCTCTTTACAGATCAAGAAACTGAGGCAGAGGAAGGGGAAGGATCTTGCTCGGGTCACAGGGCTGACAAAGGCTGAGCCCAGATGCAGGTGCAGGAGTTGGGCCCCGTGGCTCTGCCTGCCTGTCCCTTGGCACAGCTCCCTTCCTGGTCAGCAGGCACGGTGCCTGCCCCGTTCATCACCAGGACTGGCGCCCAGCCCTGTGCTCTGTCATTTTCCCCCAGCTGAAGGCTCTTTAATGGTTTGGGCTCCTGTGGTGTGGATGGAGCACAGTAGTAATCCTGCTGTGTAAATCCTGTGGAGTGGGTCGTGTCCACGCACACGCCGGGTGGAGGACGGGGCGCCCACTGTGGAGCCCCACCCATGCGCGTGGTCAGTGGAAACAGCTGTAGCACGGTCTCTGAACAAGACCCAAAAGCTGACAAGCGGAACTGCACTTTCCTCTAGAATCCAGAAGGCTCTGCTATGCCTAGGCTCGGCCTAGGAATCCTAAAACCAAAGTTATTTTTCTTTCCGGGGCCATTGCAACACTTCCTAGGCTTCAGAAATGTCACTGAAGCTTGAAACTCAGGGTAGCACTGAAGGGCTACAGGCACCAAGGACACTGTTTCCATCTTGTCCCCGAGCCATGACCAAGTGACTAAGCTTTCATCATCCAAACGGCAAGCTTAAAAGCCCATCAGTGAAATGAATGGTCTCCCCAGAGAGTCAAAGAGACAAACATCAGAAATAAGCATTTGCAGTGAAAGAGACTCACAATAATAATGTTCCTTAAAAGCCGTGTAATACACTTGACGGCTTAGGACAGGAAACATCCTTTCTAGTGAAAAGTAGTGTGTCTTTAGCGTTATGCAGAGTCCATTGCTGGGTGGGGGTTCTCTTCGCGGATAACTCTATGAGCACCCTCTAAGCCCTCAGTAAACGCTTCCGGTAACAAAGCTGACACCTCCGTCACAGCGGTGTCTCTGAGAGTGTCCGGAGAAAACAAGAACCGAACTCCTCTAGGAGTTGATACGGCGTGCAGAGGCCTCCCGGCAGACACTGCTCCTGAAGAACAGAGCCCTGTGCTCCTTTGCTACACAGCCTTTTCTCTGGTCCAGAAAGGCCCGTTCTGCGAGAGTGAAGAAGCCACACAGACAATCAGTTTCTCTCTGAAGATTGTGAAGTCTTGTGCTCCCTCAAATCTTTCTTAGAAAAGGCCAGTTTTCAAGCACACGGGCAGGCAAATAGACACCCGGGACACAAGGGTACACTGCGAGCAACCCAGAAGCACTTGGGGCTTTGCTCTCTTTACGCCAAAGCTGCACAGAGCTGCGTCTCCTGCTTCCGGCAGCTGTTGAATGATTGTATTCCCTGCCTACCAGCAGACTGGGCTCTTTTTTCTCATGTTCCCTTCACCTGGTCAGGATTTCCCTCCATGCAGCAGGATTAGGGTCCCCTGAGGTTGGACCTCTCCCAGCTTCCTGAGTTTCTATTCTGTGCTGGATTTTATCCCTGGTGTTGATTGATGGCTGAGGTTGGGACGAAGGTGATGTGCTCGGAACCGCACAGCAAGTGAGGGATGAGCTGCCCAGAGCACAGCGTGGTGGTTTGGTGTCACTCGAAAGGGTAGGCTGGCCACCCCGACGTCCTGTCCTGCAGCAGCTCCCTGTCCCCACCTCTGGAGGGACTAAGATGAAGTAAGCAGACTCTGGACAGACTGGGCTGGTGAGGAGCTGGATTACCCAGGCACTTCACTGGGGTACCCACAAGTGCTAGAAGTCTAGTGAATGCTCACTGAATGAATTAAAGAAACAATTCTACGTAGCACCTTTGGGCGGTAATGAGGAACTGAATGTAGCTGGTGAATGTCCATATACTACTCCAGTCTGCCTGCCCCGCCTCTGCTGTGACCTTGGTCAGGGCTGAAGATGCTGCGGCTGGAGCACTGCCACTCGCAGCTCCTGCGTCACCTGGGGGCAAGTGTTTGCCGAGACAGGGAGGACAAGGGCGGAGCACGAAGAGTGCTCTCCAGGGAGGCTGCCTCTGCGTGGTGGCGACTCGGTCCCGGGAGCCAAGCTGGGGCGACACAGCCACGGCTTAGCATTTACGGTCCCGAAGCCTCTCTCCAGGAGGGGCCGCAGGGGTCTACAGCGTCTCTGGACAAGCACAGACCGCTGCCTGCTGAGACCGGTGTTGGTGTCTACAGTTGGCTGCTGTAGTCTGTTGATCCCAGTCCCAGCAACGCAGTGGTGCTCTCTGCCCCCTCAAGCTTGGGTGACAAATGAGTCAGGTCACGTAAGGCTCACAGAACCCCGGAGCTGTATCAGCATTTCCCCTACCACTGTTGCTTTCTTCTCACACATTGGCTGCAGCAATCTCTGGCTCTTCCTCAATTTCCCCAACAGAGAGAACAGATGTAGGATCACAGCTCAGCGTACGTGGTGCTCAGCAAGACTTGGGCCTTCTGCGGCAGCAGCCACGAGTGGTGAGGTGACCAGGCCAGTGTGGCAGCGAGACTGCCCGTCAGCCCCTGTGGCCATGGTGACTCAGGGTGGCTGGGGTACTTGGTTTTTTGGTTGAGGGCCTGGCAAGGCCTCCAGCACAGTGAATCAGGCCTTCCCAGGACTCTCCTGCTGTGCAGCGGGACTGCCGGCTACATCCCATCCACAGGAGGCCATGAGCTGCTGGACCTGCCATGCAGGGAAAGTCCCTGGGTACAGGGCCCGGAGAGAAGCCAAGCTGACAGAGGGTAGGGAGACGCTCGTGGGCCTCCGTTTTGGGGTGTGTGTGTGTGTGTGTGCTGATATGGGATGGAGCTCTTCTGTGTGACAGAGGGACGAAGACTGGCCTTGCCTGGGCCTGTACCCTCTCCCCTGGGGTCTGTGTGTGGCTTCACAGGTTTGCGTTGAGTTATGTGTGTTTGGAGGCCATGCTGTGTCCATGACCTGGGTTGGAGTCCCTTGCTGCAGTCCCAGGCTCCTGGCAGCATAGGAAGCTCGGATGTATAGCAGCTGCAACCCAGGCCTTGCAGCCAGCCAGTCCTGTGTCCCTGTGAAGCATCTGTGTGCTTCCAGCTCCTTGGGTCGAGGGTCCTCAGGACTCGGGAACTTTGGCCTCGGCCCTTCAGCCCAAGCCCCTACTTCGTGGCTATATGGCAAGGCCTGGCTGAGGACACCAAATATCAGAGCTAGGAGTGGAGCAGAAGTGATGGCCGAGGCTGCAGGGCAAGGCTCAGGAGCGGCTGCTGCTGCAGGCCAAGGGCAGACGGGCCAGCACTCGGACCCAGGAACCCTTCTGGGTCACATCAGATCCTCATGGGCCTAGCATGGGCATAAGCCTGAAAGCCACTTGTCACTGTGATTGTCTGCTAGGAGAGGGGACTAGAAAACAACCTCAAGAATGCTGATACCTGTTAACTACAGGGGAAATACTATAATTCTCCTGCCAAAAACACCAATTCATTCATTCCCCCACACTTCTGCTGGAAAGCAGCTCCACGCATGGGAGACAGGCACTGCGCCATTATGGTTAAAATTCTCACGTTTCTGTTTCAGGAGGTGTTGGGCAAAGCTGGAGCCGCTCTTCCTCTATGACCATCAGAAATGGGCCATCACCCCAATATCAAGTCCCATTTTCTCTTTTCCTCTCTATAGGTGAAGGCTTCATGGCACTGATCTTTGTGACTGGGCAAAAGTCAGGGGGTTACGGCGGGAAATAATAGTCATTGGTGGTGTTTCTCTGTCATGACTAAATATCTCCTTCTCCACAGTGGGCAGGGGCCACCGGCCAAACACTGTGGGCAAGATCAGGCCCTTGAGTCATCTAGCTGGAAATGACAGCCTGCTATTAAGGTCGATCATACGGGGATAAAAGGAGATTGAAAAAGGAGTGCTGACCTTCTTTAGAAACCTTTTCATTTTCTTAGCTTAGGCTCAACTTATTTTTAGGAAGCATAATTACCCCCGGATTAAATAGGAATGTTTTTTCATACATTTTTCCCTTTGGAAAGACTTGAATATAATCACCTGATCCTAAGAGCCTTGCTATCTTTGAGCCGAGAGAGGAGGAAAGGCATAAGACCATTACAAAAAGGAAAAAAAATCCGTTTGGAAAACTGTTAAGAGTTATTTAACTTAACTCTTTTGAGTAATGGCCTCCCTGGAAGCTGGAGCCATTTCAGGAAGCAGAGTTTCTTTTCTTAGCTTCCTGTGAAAACCTGATAAGCATCCTGGATGCTCAGGGGACCTCATAGAAAGGGGGTTGCTGTCCTCGTAGAGGATTGAACCCAGTAGTAACTGCAGAGCTCTTTTGGATCTCTGTATTTAATAGGGAAACAGTGACTAATTCATGAACCTCATCTTAATTTGGTAGGTTTGAGAT